ACCAACACACACACACTAGGAACCGAGGCTTTTCTACTCTTGGAAATTGGTAAAATTGTTTTGCAGTGTGCAGGTCTTTATACCTCAGACAATAGACCAGGGGTTGCAATAGACCAGGGGTTCCCAAACTGTGGTTTATGTAACAGTGGTGGTACATGAACTTGTGGGAAGGAGTATACTGTGACCAGGGTAGGCTGTGCCCTTTTAGGGGTAGTGAAGACTGGACAGGCTCCTTTAAGGAAACAGGTATTCAAGGGAGCAGTAGATTAGCCAGAGGAGTCTCAGTCATCATGTAGCTACTGTCTTAACTTAATGGAACCCAGCTGTTAAGTGACTCCAAGAGAGAGAGGGGAGATAGCCTGCAGAAGAGAATTACAAGGGAGCTATTGTGTCAAAATTAACTACATTGGCTAACCCAGCAGAATTAGCTACCTTGATGTTCTGGAGCATGTCACTACTCCAGCAGTTTGAGCAGCGCAGTGACATCTCCTGAATCCCTTGTGCTCATTTTGCCCTTAACTGCCCTCAGAATTTGCTACTTGTTGAAAACAAGGGTACCAGGGTGGAAGCGGGAGGGAGTGAAAGGAGGCAAATTGGATGGGGAAGGATGGGCAGAATTTGTGCAGCAGCCAAACAAACAGAGGAGGGTAAAGGGGATGGAAGGAGTGGAGGAAGAGGAGCAGATAGGCAACACTGGGGACAGGATGAATGAGCCAAGGTTTAAGCAGGAGGAGTTGTGTTGCCAGACAGTGGCAGGCAAGGGGAAAACTCTGGGAGAGTGAGGGGTTAAAGGTTGCTGGAAATAGGGTGAGCCACCTGCAGTGGTTGCCAAAGTAGGATGTGGAGGGCAGAGGGGCTTGTGTTCCTCTCTGGATGGTCCATATCAGCTAGGGTGACCAGATGTCCCAATTTTATAGGGACAGTCCCGATATTCGGGGCTTTTTCTTATATAGGCTCCTATTACACCCCACCACCTGTCCCGATTTTTCACACTTGCTATCTGGTCAACCTAATATCAGCACCCCCTCCTCATGATGTTAAAGGCATGGTGTTAAAGGCATAGTGTAGCCTAGAGCCCAGACCCTTGAGGATTTGAGCTCTAGGAGTCTGGATTCAGTGGAATAGTTTACTTACACACACGCACCCCACAAACATTCATCATTTTCATATATTTTTTAATGTTTCAAAGAATTCCTTGTCAGTTTTCATAAGTGCAACATGTCTGTAAATAGCTTTATAGCATTTCTCAAATTTGTCTTCTCTTTATTCTGATTGCCTGAATTGGACTTCTCTCAAATTATCACATCTCACAGTGTTAGCATAGCACTTTGTTATTGTAATTTTCAATTTTTATTTCTAAAGTTTTAATTTTTCCCCATATGATAAATTCACTCTGTCTTCAAAAGCAACAGAGAGTCCTGTGGCACCTTGAAGACTAACAGACGTATTGGAGCATAAGCTTTCTTGGGTGAATGCCCACTTTGTCATGCATCTGACTCTGTTGCTTTTTACAGATCCAGACTAACACTGCTACCCCTCTGATACTCTGTCTTCAGTTTCCTTTGATTTTCCAATGAGAAGTCCCTTTCTCAGCTGTTATTTTGGTCTATATTTTTTTTTAATTTCATCACTTATGCATAGATCTTACTTCCCACATATTCACTAAGGACACTTCTCTATCTTATTTGAAACCCCTCTTATGCACTAGAAAGTTCTAATATGATCCATTTCAGTGGTGGTTTTCATTCTGGAACGTTTACTTTTTGTTCTGCTAAAAATCAATAAAGTTTTTTTAACATTAAATATTTTGTTATTTCTTGGACAACCCTTCATTTAAGAAAAGGGGCAAGGCTTTGAAATCTTAGTAATGAAACCAACATATGAGGTTGGATAGTTAGTGTGTTATGAATTTCAGATCCTTCCTCTATGAAGAAACTGGAAGTTTGGACAACAAAAGTTCCTCTACACAAGAGACAGCAGGATGGGCATAACTATGGGGCACTCATCCTCAAAGCATGCAATGCCAAATTTTGACTGTTAGTTTATAACTTATACATAATTA